CAATTGTATCCAAAAGGCCTTAATAACCTTACACGTCCACCACATATGAAAAAAAGTTGCATCTGGATGTCCACACCTCCAACACTTGGATTCATAATTCACATAGATACGAGACATAGTTGAAGGGTCCAAGTGCCATCTATAAAACATTTTATAAAAATTCTCCCGTAAATTTTGAGCTTGTGTAAACTTCACATTTTTCACCCAGATTAACTCCCAAGTATCCATAGGTATTGTTTCTCCTATATTTTGAGCCCATTTAACCATACAATCTTTGACTAATTCAGTTTCCGAGTCCAATTCTAACAAAACATTATATATCCTTTTGATATGTTCTTTAGCTCCATCTCTTACTTGCTTCAAAAAATTCCCGTCTTCCATACCAAAAATAGTCTTTTTATCAATTCGCCATCTATCTTGAATTTGTCGATACAAAAACCAAGAAAAGTTTGGATTATTTTGCTTCAAAACTTCTATTGATTTTAAACACCAGTTACCACCACCACTCTGGTATAACAAGTCTTTGTATGTAAGTCCCTCCATCACCACTCCTCTGGTTATGGTTTGAAAAATATGTGAAGGTATCACCCAGAGTGGTAGCAACCGGCATGTCTAGGCCAGGGGTAGGCAACCTTGGCTCTTTTATGACTCGTGGACTTCAACTCCCAGAATTCCTGAGTCAGCCACGCTGAGGGGAAAGGGAGAGGTTTCCATGCTGAGCCATGCTGGCTCAGGAATTCTGGGAGTTGAAGTCCACCAGTCATAAAAGAGCCAAGGTGGCCTACCCCTAATCTAGGGGTATTGTGCTTTATCCAGCCCTATAGATTCACCTCTCATCTTAGGGCAGGGGTAAACAACCTTGGCTCTTTTATGACTGGTGGACTTCAACTCCCAGAATTCCTGAGCCAGCAAGGGGAAATAGGGCTCGCTTCTTGACTTGTGGACTTCAACTCCCAGAATTCCTGAGCCAACATGGCTCAGCATGGAAACCTCTCCATTTCCCCTCAGCATGGCTGGCTCAGGAATTCTGGGAGTTGAAGTCCACCAGTCATAAAAGAGCCAAGGTTGACTACCCCTGTCTTAGGGGGTTCATGTCTCCCCAGTTTATAAGCCCTAAGGGGTTCTATAGGCTTCCAATGATTGTGTATTATGAACCAAGCCCTTAAAATGGGTGAAAACATCCTTTGCAGGCAAGTCCCATGTCAGCTCAGCCAACTCTGGTTTAGAATAGGATAAACTAACAGAGTTGGAAGGGACCTTGGAGGTATTCTAGTCCAACCCCCTGCTCAGGCAGGAAGCCCTATACCAGGGGTCTTCAAACTTGGCCCTTTTAGGACTGGTGGACTTCAACTCCCAGAATTCCTCAGCCAACGTGCCTGCCTCAGGAATTCTGGGAGTCGAAGTCCACAATTCATGAAAGGGCCAAATTTGAAGACCCCGTGTCCTATACCTTTTCAGACAAATGGCTGTCCAAGCTCTTCTTAAAAACTTCCAGTGTTGGAGCATTCACAATTTCTAGTGGCAAGTCGTTCCATTGCTTAATTGTTCTGTCAGGAAATTTCTCCTCAGTTCTGGGTTGCTTCTCTCCTTGATTAGTTTCCATCCGTTGGTTCTTGTCCTGCTTTCAGGTGCTTTGGAGAATAGGGGGACCCCCCCTTCTTTGTGGGAGCCCCTCAAATATTGGACGACTGCTATCATATCACCCCTGGCCCTTCCCTTCATTAAACTAGACAGCCCCAATTCCAGCAATCGTTCTTTGCTTAATAAGAGAGTTAAAAGTCAGTTGTCTTAACCAAGACTCAATCTAGCAGAAGGAGGGAATTATTTTAACTGCCCCACCAGTTAAAATTCAAGTCCCCTTTTACAGAAATCCAGAAGAGTTGGAAGGGACCCTGGAGGTCCTCTAGCCTGACCCCCTCCCTGCTCAGGCAGGAAATTCTATCCCCATTCAGGACCAATCGCTCTTCGGTCTCTTCTTGATGGATCTTTTGATGTTTTCAGGGTCATGTGGACCGACTGGGAAGCCTCTCGCCACATTTGCAAGTCCCTCCTGGAGGCCAAAGTGTACTCCCGATTGGTCGACTTCGACAGCCACTTGGATGACATCAGACAAGACTGGACCAATCAGCAGCTGAACACGGAAATCGCCCAGTTGGTATCGGTAGCCAATGGCAGTGCTTGAAGGAGGAGCCGGGCTAATTTGTAAGGATCTTTAAACCCGGTTCCCTCCAGCTTCGTTAGGAGCATCCAAGATGTCGGATTAGCCCAGATAGAAGCCAGGATCACGTGATTGAGGCGAGGCCCCGCCCCATTTTAACGGGGCTGCCATCTTGACTCTCTTATCTCCTCCCGCCCCAACAAGGAGATACCTCTGTTGAAGAAGAAAAAGGATGAATTTGCTTCGAAATTTGTGTTGCTGTTGTTTTTGTTTTAATTTATTCCATCTTTGCAAAAGCAATTTTTCCCAACCAAATTCTTGTTTTTTAAAAAAGGAGGGATTTAACCCCCTCCCCGTTTTATCCAGGTAGTCCTCAAACCTACGACCACACTTGAGCCCAAAATTTCTGTCGCTAAGCGAGACGTTGGCTAAAGTTGAGTTTTGCCCCATTTTAAGACCTTTCTTGAATCACTGTTATTTGATAAGTTAGTAATCCGGTTAAGTGAGGTCGCAAAAGAGGATCCCATGACCCCGGGACGCGGCGACCGTCGTAAATATGAACCCTCTGGATTTCGAGCGCGTGAACGCAGGGAGGCTGCAACAGTCGTTAAGTCTGGAAAAAAGTCGTAAGTCCCTTTTTTTCAGCGTGGTTGTTAACTGAGCAGTCGCTAAACGAAATGTTGTAAATCGAGGACTACCTGGAATTTCAGAGATTTTATTTCATCAGCGCGGTTTAAGATTTTATATGTATAAAACCCGTCGGATTCCAGAGAGAGAAGCCCAACCGCAATTCTTCGCCTAGGACCCGAATTAAATGTTTCCTCTCGCCAGGTTTTAAAGATCTGTTTATTGAAAGAGGATCAAGTTGATCAGGGAAGGAAAAAAGGGTCCGGGAGGTGACCTGATTGCTGGCTGAACCCTTTAGTAGATCATCCCTTTGTTTTCATCCCGGGGCTTCTTAATCTTGTCAAAATTCTTCAGGATGCTGTCATAGGTCACAGCCTAGAAAGAGAGAGGAGAGATCACAGGGGTCCTCGCCAGAAGGATAATATAGAATTAGAATAGAGAATAGAACAGAACAGAGAATAAAACAGAATAGAATAGAATATTAATAGAATAGAATAGAATAGAACAGAACAGAATAATATTAGAATAGAATAGAATATTAGAATAGAATAGAATAGAATAATATTAGAATAGAATTACAATTACAATAGAAGAACAATAGAAAATATGGAATGGAATAGAATAAAATTAGAGAACAACGGAAAGAATGGAAAGGAACAGAAAATATGGAATGGAATAGAATAGAATAAAATTAGAATAGAGAACAGAACAGAAAATACGGAACGGAATGGAACGTGGCAATTTTAAAAGGCGTGATGGACTTCAAATCTCGAGACTATTTTTCTCCTGTATCCACCATAACAGAATAACGGAGTTGGGAGGGACCTTGGAGGTCTAAACAAACCGTTGTAAGTCGGGGACTAGAGTCATTAATTAATCTATTATATAAATAAAAATGTAACTGTTCGTTTGTTCAAAATCTTAAATCTCTGAAAGTTCTTCACCGATTGCTTTGAAATTTTGACACAACGTTGCATTCGAATACGCGCGCTTTTATATACCTACTATTATATAGATGTCACACCTGTGACAGGTAAAAACATGTTTTTGAAAAACAGCGCCATCTGTTGGACATAAAAGCAACACACACTACCATTTAACCAGACTGAGCCACAGCAACGCGTGGCCGGGTTCAGCTAGTAAGAAATAAATTAATTCATAAAAAAAAATAAATAAATAAAAAAAAAAAAAGCAAAGGGCTGTTTTGATGGACCACTGGGTCTTTTTCGGCCGTTCGGTTTTCTCTCTTTCTAAATTTCCCTGAAGTTTCTCAACCGATGGATCAAGGGGAGGATTAAGAGAGGAACACTTATCTCTCCGCGACATCCTTGGATGGGAAGGGCTCCCGGTTGGCCAATTTTGTGTGGAGAGATTTGTGTGACAGGCGGAAGTTTTTTTTTTGTTTTTTTAAATTTGTAGAAACCCCTGTACATAATTCTGCAGCTTTCGGGGTGGGGTGTTGTGTTTGAGGTCATCGTTCAGGTTTTTTTGGGGGGGGGGGGGAAATAAAAATGTTGGGTGAAACAGCCTCAGCTTTGACCTCCCCACAAGGACTCACGTAAATGTTTCTCAATTCGTTGACCATGAATCGGATTTCGGCATACTCCGCTTCGTCGATCTCGTGGACCAGCTGGCGGTAGTCGCCCTGTAAGTGACGGAGAGAAGGAACAAACAAACGTTTGAGCAATGACACCGTTTCGAGTTCGATCCCGACACGCAAAGATTTAACGGAAA